GAAAGCACACTCTGTAGTTCGCATCGAAACATAATTCTACATGAATAAATCATATTTGTCAACCTTTGTGTACGTATACCTTGTTTTACCTTGTTCTCTAATATATAAACCTAAATATATATTAGAGAGATTTTCATGTGGTAAATGCCTATCAAGGATAACTTGTACTTACTGGAAATTGGTTTCGCATGAACAGATGATTCATTAGGGCTATGTATCTCAACAGTTAATTCATTTTTAGTAGTACCTAAATGTTAAAATACCAAATACTATTGTTTGTGACCTTTTAGGAGACTTCACTGTTTGCTGCTTTCGTACATCATTTTCACTTAAATAAAAAATCACATTCGATTCGCATATAACAACTAACTGTTACTAAATGTATTTTATCCGAATACGTTGAGAGACGAGCGTCATAATAAACATTTTGAATCTTGTGTACTAATAAGAAATTTTATCATTATGACTCTTACTCGATGTACTGGATGACTTTGTCTTGTTGTAAGATGCTATATGTTTAAACAGAAAAACAAATTCGTCGGTGTTGTTATCCATATGATTCAGAGCATCATACATACTTTCACTCATCATATTTGAAATACATAGCGTATTTATAAATTCAAACGTCTCGTTTGCAAGAACACAACCAAGATGATAATTTTTCGAATATGGAGTAGTAGAATCATCTAGAAAATTAATAGATTAATGAGAACCTTTCCAACTAACGGAAAATAATTTTGCTCCAGCACAATTAGTTATAAAACTCAATTTTTATTTAGAAAGTACCCACGTCTATTGAACGTATTCGAACATAGGTTCCTGAGTCAAGTACATTCACCGGGATCTGAAATAAAATATTTTAAGTTAAAATCTTATTTCATAAATCAAATGAAGCCATTTACTGCTTTGTTTATATGTATATCTTACCTTATTCTAACTTATTGTCTTCTAAATTTGACTGGTGTGCAAGAGACCAATTCAGCGGGTACCTGTTTAGGCATCCACTAAGTAATATTTTACTTGCAAGCATTTATGACATTCGTGCAGCATGATACCTGACTCAGGAACCTATGTTCAAATACATTCAATAGGGATGGGTTCTTTCTCAACAAGATCATAACCATATATATATAAAAGAAACAAAAATCGTCACTGCTGCGGTGGCGCATTTTAGATCTCTTGACTGTCCTCCGCCTAGAATTTTAGAAAGCGACGAAGATATTTGTTGGACTAAGGCAACCGTTAGTTGAATTTACAGCTCCAAGCAGTAGCTCTTGACAGCATCTTTATAGCATTAGATGTTGCTTTCCGCCTTTGACTGTACATCATTAAAAGCGGCGAAATAGAAGAAAAAAAAGAGTTTTACTGAAAAAACTTTGGGTGGATGATCGACAGGCAAGATTTAAAATATTTTCTTCAGAATTTCGCTGTGAGATCTATACTTTCTGAGATTTTCAAGTTATTCGGAGAAAAGTTGATGAAAAGCCGTTTTCGAACGAATTACTTGTGATTAATCGCTTAAATAATCATATCTCAGTTTCTAACAACATTAAAACCTACTTTTATTCGCCGCTTGTACAAAACAAAATTCTACAAGTGGTTGTTTTTTCAACTCGGGAAGTCCTAATTTATTTATGATCCGTAGTTTTAATCTAGAGAAAGAAAAAAAGTATCGTCTATTATATTATAGGTTTTTTTATGAGATTTCATCTATTCACGTACTTGAAACTGCCATTTCTAATGTCTTCGTTTGATAAAAGAATTTTGCAAGGATTATCTAGTGGTGTATTTCTATCACAGTGTTCACCTAAAAATCCTTTTGATGGATGCATGAAATAAGTACCATTGTGATATTCAGTAAGCAGGTAAATATTTAGAAACCATTTTAAATGACGATAGTCTGATGGTATATGAATCTATAATGTGTTAATTAAAATCGTTTCAGTTTTGACATGAATATTTGAAATATCGTTTCATTTTCGACACATTATCCATATACTTTCGAAATTGAAGATTGTTATCGTATAAAATTCTTCAACTTACCGCTAATGTTGGATAATCAAACTTGTTCGGGCCTTGAATATATCGTCCATTAACTTTTGACTGACGTTTACTAAAACAAATTAGGAACATCATTAGTATTTCTTAAATTTTTGTAGTTTGATCGTTGCATTTACTCATATTTTGCTGGCGGTGGACCAAACAAGTCTCTAATATAAACCGGTTTTTGTAGTGAACGAACATTCGTTGTGAATATTAACGGATGTAGATAATCTATTCTATTTACTAATGAAATACCAAGAAGCACTATAGAACGTACTGTACGAAAAACAGACAAGTCAAAATATACTCACATGTATGCAAATTACTATCAATTGGTTGCTCAACCATAATATCTTCCATTGAAAAATTACTAGCATCAGTTTCTGAAAATAGATATTACCAAGAGAGTTGTTTACTAATTAATAAAGTCAAGTACTATTCATAGAACTACCGGTGCTTCTCCTTAACAACAGTGGGCTAAAAGTATTTGTCAGAAAGCTTTTGATATGCAGAAAGACGTCCTTTTTAATCAAGAAGTTAAAATGCCAGATTTTATTTAACTTTATACGTTAACGGTGCCTTATATTTAGAACGGCGGTCTTTGATATAAGCTATTTATTTGGAAAAGAAAGAAATGAGCAATTTTATACTATCTCTACTCACCGAAAGAAAGACAACACCATTATTACTGGTGATAGAGAAAACAAGCAAAATTATAGCAAAAAACACATAAATAAACTTATTTTAAAAATTTAACTTTTTTCTACTGTTTACCGGTAGCCAAAGGGTTAAGCCATCCCCATGGATTAGACATCTATCTTGGTAATCAAACGTTGGGCCTTGACAAAAATTTCAAGAATTGTTGATAATATCCACGAATAGTTACGATAAATTTTTGAAGGCTCTTCCTACTCTCGTTCAATAGGCATCGCCGGGACACGGGTCAAATGGGGCATCTACCATCCAGTCGACTTCTCCTCTCAGAAAGAAGTTAGAGAGCTAGGGTTGATTTTAGGATACCAAATTAAGCGAGAGTAACGCTGCAAAAAACAGTCGAATTGTTCAATCTTTTTTATTTTATTTCCTGATGGAATCTGCAACCCTAAAGTTCAAAAAAAAGCGAAGAAACTGTCGCATAAACTTCAACACCGTAAAAGAATGACGACCTGGATAAAATCAGGTTTTTGCCTATTATTCCATATATCTCAGCTTCAATTTTAAAAAAACGAGTCTGCTCTGACTTTTCGTTACCACGAAATCTGCTATGACCCACAAAGCTTATGATGCATACGTTTCCACACAAAACTTCGTGAAAAGCCACTAATATACGACTTTTAGCCAATGAAAGTGAGTCAGTTTGATACTTGAGGCTACATCTTCATCCCCTGTTCGCATCATCAATATTTTTGACGAAAATTGTGATTTTTGATCCGAGGAGACGGCTTTGAAAAAAGAGATTGAGTATATCAAGCAATTATAATCAAATGTGTCTTCGTCAGTGATGAAATTGCCACACGTTTCTTTCCATTTTGCTACTCGTACGATTTTCAAATGATCATACTTCTAGAGCTCTGTAATATTTTAAATTGAAGAGAAAAGTGTGCTGAACATATTGAAATGTTCTCGTTCTCTAAGTCGCAAATCAATCTTACACACTGGATACAGAACTCATTCAAAACGGAAGCAAATAACTAACCTGAAAAGATACTATCATGAGATGGTACTGAATGGAAAATGAAGTCAATCTCTTCGTCGGCATTAGTGGTCACCAGCTGTGGGTTTTCACTGAACACCATCGAATCAATTGTTAGACCTAAAAGTGAGCGAGCTGGTAGAAAAGAGAAAGATCGCCCTCTAAACTTACTATTGTCCGGGAATAAAATTGTATTCGACATATATCAGCTAATCTAAAAATAAAAGAGTGAACGCTTTTATGTCGAGAATTAATCATTGATAGAGAGATAGTTATTGTTGTGCAAAAACTCACAGTAGACGTTGCTTTCAGAAGCAAAAGAGTAAAAAAGTTTGATTTTTTTCAATATTTATTCTATTGAGTAGTGAAAATACTAGATGAAGTAGAAAAAGAAAAAAAGTCTTACTGACAGCTTTTATTGGCATTTTTGGATAAAAAGCAAACAAACAGTATGAGAGGTTTTAATCGGAAATTATGTATCTTTTTCTGGCTCCACGAGATCCTTATATTTATATAATCATCCTTGTTTAACTCAATCATTTCAGAACACTATAAGGTAGGATAGAATTTAAAATTCTTACAAAATGAAAAGAGTTTAAAAAAACAATTCGAAAAATCTAGAATCTTGACAAATTCAAGGTACTTTTACAGGAGATGTAATAAAACAGTCATTATCAGAACAGTATGCTATTGAGAAGTACAGTTCTCAAGAGCGAAGTCGGGAAAACGTTAATATTACAACCCAAGCACGAAAAAAAATCAGAAAGCGGGCGTTGCATCTAGATTAAAAGGTACATTTATCTAGCTTCAGCTGGATACAGTGAAATAAATGAAAATTTGATATAGCTTCAGCTAGATTGAATCTAGCTTCAACTGGGTACAACTGGTTGCTATCGATTAATCAGGCAATTCATTATGCTATTAATTGGCCAATGCACCGGCCGTTTTAGCGAGGTACACGATTTCAATCAGCATGTAGCTACATAAATGTAACTTTTAATCTAGTTAATCTAGCTGTAAGTGGGCACTGCAGCTATTTTTGCAGCTAGATTTTCTCGCTTACTCAGTTTGCTTGGGAATGATTTAGTAGTATTGAGGAATTCTCTGCTGTCTTTTCGTTATGGTCAAAACCAAATTCACGTTGATACTTCAAGACAGACGTTTGTCATTCCAGGTTAAATTATTACTTTACATATTAAATAAGACAGAACGAAAAAAACCCACTTATTTTCTTGGTAAATTCCAAAGATAACACCATATACGTAACCGCATGTAGACAATGGTATATATACCGCGTACACACATACAGACCTGTGCGAAAATATTTCGTTGATTTTTCTATATTACATTTTTTTGTGTCATACAAACACGTTAAATAATAGTCTACTCGATTATGATAAGATATTAATAATACAACCTCCAAAACCCATAAACAACATAAATTTAAATATAGCATAAATATTCAAGTGAAAAAAAGCCACTTTATAAAGCCCAAGGAGAACATTCTGTGTGGATAAAAATGAAAAACTCCCGTAATAGTATAATACGCTAAATTGGGTGATAATAATGTTGAATGAAATTTAATTTGTTTTGACTATATTTGTTCTCAATGTTTTCGTTTATATTGACAGCGTAAAAAACAAGATACTTAACAAGAAAAGTAAACGTACAACAAGAACAAGAAAATTACAAGTCAAGCACCGATCGGTTTAAAACTACCTAAGTTATAACTAGTTGGCGTTGAAATTAGTTATAACTAATTTAACTTTTAGTCAGAAAGTTACAATAGTTATAACTCTCAACTCGGATTGATTGACATAACTGCTACCGAGATAAAAAAGATTCATCATGATATCAGACTTGTTTATTGTACGAACACGACATCGTTCAATACATATATTATGCTGCGAATTACCTCGATAGATTTTTTATCTCTATAAGGATTAGAAAAAACCTATAACAGGTGAATAAAAATGGCATTTATCGCGATACCTTTTTGTATAGAAAGCGATATGAAAGGTATCCATATGAATGCCGTTTTTATTCACCTCGATCTTTGGTGAGATAAATCGCAACTTGATATATATGTATTGATAGATATCATGATGGAAACCTTTATCATTGCTTTATGTAATCATCACAGGAAAATTGTTTATCTATTTAGCGAACTGCATAACACTGATATGATGTGATCATAAAGAAGCCCATGGTTCCGAAAAACGTACGTGAAACTTTTTCGAAACACTACACACTCATCATTAAGGACACGATATTTTCTCAGTAATCTACACAATTCAATTGCAAACAGTCCACTCATTAGTGAATTATGTCGTCAAATTACTTCTTTACCAATATTTGTTCAGTTAGTCTTAACTCTGGTCGCATCAAAAATAACACACTGTGAAAAATAAATTGAAAAATTACAATTAACCGTGGATGAAATCAATACCAACGCGTCGGAGATTTATGCGCGAAATTTTCGTTTTCTTCCAGCAAAAAATTATTTTTCTTTGCGTTCTTGTCCTTGAGCATCCATAGTTTCAAAATCATTCCGCCACCTTTGTTTCATTGTCCCTTGCTGTTATGCATAGTTCTGGAAAAAAACCTACAGCATGGTTCAGTTCAGTTCTCTTTGTCACATATAGTACCTTTATTCTATCTTCTTGTTATGCTTCTTCATGAAACTTGACCTTCTACTGTTGTCCGTTCAAACAAAGAACTATAGTTGTCTATGGAGAAGTTTTTTAATCTCTTATTTATATGAAGAAATTCTGTTTTATATTTTATATTCAGAAAACTTATGGTTGTTCTCGCCGTCTTATTTGCTATTTTTCTGATTTTATATTCGGATTCAACTTAAAGTTCTACGTCTGAATCGCTATCTATTTTAGTTTTTCGATGCTTCCTCGACTAGGAGACCTCGAAATACTCTTTTTGGCGGAAAAGAAGAAAACTGAGGGAAATTGAAGACTACGTCTTACAAAACCATTTCGAACACTTCTAATACGGATATTCGTGATCAGCGTGGGTGATTACATATTACCAGTTGGATTTGGAAAACATCAAAAATAAAAAGTTCTCCAGAAATCCTGGAGAGGACCTCAGGTCTCAAAAACCTGTCCGAGATATTTCGCGAAACTAAGTGTCTGGAAACGTTGCTGAGCATTCCCTGACATGGTTCCAATGGAAAAAGAAACGCTACTTTTGTGAATCAGGAAAGGGTCTGATCCGCCCTACTCCTTTCTCAACTAAAATTTGACCAAAATAAAATTTTTTATAAAGATCGACTTATGATCACACAAGGACTCAAGGCACCAGATGGTTTAAGAGGTTGCAAAAATTATGATGGCGGTGTACAATCGAAAGTGCACAGGGTAATAAGTCAATATGTGATATTTATGTAGCAGTAAAGCAAAGCAGAATGTTTATGTCGAATACATGCATGTAGAGATAATTCCATTTCTTTTAGGCTAAGGTTTGTTAGATTTAATATTAATGGTGCTAGTGTGTCTAGTTGGAAATACAATTGAATCAGAAGCAGCTCGTGGAACAGTCACACGACATTATCGAGAACATCAAAAAGTAAGGAGTTAGTTATATTAATTAAATAGTTAAAACGCAGTTTCACGTATGACCTTTAGGACAAATGAAAATCAGCAAATCCCATTACAAGTATGCTTGAGTGAACACGTGATGAAGAACATCGAGAAAAGTTAGATAACGATGATGAAAACAATGAACAATGGTAATGGATAAGAAAAATTGATTTTAAACATAGTTAAATTTAAGGGAAAACAACTGTAAAATAAGAGCGATATCAAAAGGTAATCGACTTGTTTCTCCTGTTTATACTGGGTATCAATTTTTTTGATCCCCAAATTTTCCAGTATGTATCTCACAGTTTTATTTCTCAACAAAATATAATGTACAACATAAACATATTCATTGAAATTATAACCAAATGAATAATACTTTTACAGTTTTATTTATATCTATTTAAAAAATCTAAAGCTATGCTAACTTTCTTGGGACGCCCTTTTGCTTTTCGTTTGCCTAACGGTTGAATACGTGTTTTATCGCTAACTTGATACAAGTTAAATAAGATTGCTAATCCAACAGAATGTTTACACGAATATACTAATAATGGTACAACAAACCAACAGGATTGTCGCCACACCAGAAAACCATTGAATATAATCCACCGATGAACACGATAAATACCTAGCCAATGATACATTCAATAGTTTTCTGATGTGTCAATAATCCTGTTGGTTTGTGGTACCATTATTAGCACATTTGGTTAAAATTTCAATGAATATGTTTATGTTGTACATTATACTTTGTTGAGAAATAAAAATGTGAGATGCATGCTGGAAAATTTTGGTGATCAAAAGTATCTTTATTTAGTGATCAGTTGTATCTAAAGATGTTTGGTGATCAAAAGTACATTTATTCCTTTATACTGGTAAAATTGGTAAAGGATGAACAATTATGTGCCTTTATGTGTTTTTAGTTGGAGTCGTCCGTTAGAAGAATCATGCATTGAGACAGTTGATTCATAAAAAATGATGAGAGATTTGGTCGCTTGCATTCATGAATTGAAGAAATATGTCGCTTTTTATTTTGTCTACCTTTCAAAGAATTTTGCAAATTGACGGAGTTCAGATTTTTCTTCTAAAAGTACTCTACAACACCGTTACCGTATTCATTTTGCGGAATGTTTTCGATCACGTAGAATGCAGTACAATTCATAAATATTCCATAAATTTTTAAGAGAAAAGCAAGAAAACAAATTAATCGAACAAAAGTATTTGAAATTATTATTTTGAAAAATCGATTACTGAAAACTTTATTTATCGTATGCCTGTATTAAAATTCAACAAACGTGAATCTTCTTCATGCATGTTTTTTATGCGAAAAACGATGAAATACTAGAGAATCTTGCCTCGTAAATGGGATATCATTATGAGAGAGCTGAAAAAGTCGACTTTTTTTTCGCCAGACGGATTGAGCTGAAATTTTGGGTAATGAATAACGACTATTAGTTAAACATTTTCTGAAAGTTTCATCAATGACGTCTCA